GATAGGCTGAAAAAATGGGAAGGGTGGATTAGAGAAAAGAGAAACACTAGTTAGGAAGATCAGTTAAAGAGGCTGAACCAGTTGTCCGGGCAAGAAGAGGGCCTGGACTAGAGTAGTCCAGCACCATCCTACCAGTCTCTCAGGTTTGCAACCTAAATATTATCCTCAACTCTTCACTATCTCTCACCCTGTCCCCAATATCCAATCTGTTGCCAAGACCTATCAATTACAACCTTTGCAGCATCTCTCTAATATGCTGCCTTCTCTCCTCTGACACCTCCACCACTCTAGTGCAGGCCTCATCACCTCACACCTGGACTATTGCAGTAGCCTGCTGGTGGTGCTGCCTGCTTCAAGTCTTCGCCCACTATAATCCATCCTCCATTTAGCTACCAAAGTGATTTTCCTAAAGTACAGATCTGATTATCTGTCTTTCTTACACACTCACACACACACACTCAACTCCTGTGGCTTCCTCTTTCCTCTAGGATCAAATACAAAAGCAACCTCTGCCTACTGTTCAAAGCCATTTGTAACCTAGCCTACCATCCCTTTACCTTTCCAGTCTTCTTACATCGTATACCCTGCCATGTACTCTTTGATCCAGTGACAAAATCTCCTGGCCATTCCACAAACACTATACATAATCTCTTCTGGGCATTTTCTCTGACTGTCCCTCATGCCTGGAATGTTTTCCCTCCTCTGCTCCAACTACTGACCTCCGTGGCTTCGTTTAAGTCCCAACTAAAATCCTATCATTTACAGGAAGACTTTCCCAACCCCCCCCCTTAATTCTAATGCCTTCCTTTTAATTATTTCCTGTTTATCCTATATTTAGTTTGCACATATTTGCTTGTTTATTGTCCCCGCCTTTAGATTGCGAGCTCCTTGAGGGGCAAGGACTTTCTTTTGTTTCTTTTTGTATCCCCAGTGCCTGGTACATAGTAAATCCTTAAGACATATTTATTGACTGACTGACTGTAGTGGTAGTGTAAATAGGGAGAATCTATAAAATTGGCAATATTTCACATTTGATTGGATAAGAGAGAAAAGTCAAAAAAGAAAGGTCAAGAGGGATGAATCTTAAGAACAAAGAAAATTTTAAGAAGATTTTGCAATTTGGAGAGTTGTCTTCAAATATTTGAAGGGCTATCATGTGTAAGGAAGGAATAAATTTGTTCTGTTCCAGGGGTCAGAGCCAGGACTAATATGTAAATGTTATTGGGAACAGATTTGGGTTCCATATAAGGAAAGACCTTCAAGCTGGCCAACAAGGAAACAGATTGTCATGCAGTCTTAGCTTGATCATTTCCAGCAGTACTTTATTCTTTCATTAGGTTAGAAATTCAACTTAGATGACTTAAAATTCCTTCCCTCTCTGATTCTATATTTTTAGCTGCCCACAGAATATTTCCATTTGTATGTCTCACGATCACCTATGCACGACTGATCAAAAACTGAACAAAGCCTACCCTCTTCCTACTACTGTTTGGCTTTTGTAATCATTTTCCTACTCCCCCAGATTTGAAACCTTGGTGTCATCTTTTACTCTTCCCTTCCTTTTATCTTTGTTTTTCTTCCTTCAAAATAACTTCCATTTAGCCCTTCCTTTCAGTTCACACTGACACCATCGTATGTTAGGTCCTTGTCTCTTCAGGTATGAACTATTCAGAATCTTCTAACTGTCTCTTCCCTCCCATCTCTCCTTGCTTTTACCACAGTGAAATTTATCTTCTGAAAATATCACTTTCATCATATCTCATTCCTGCTTAACATACAATGGTCTCAGTCTTTTCCTGTTAAATTATTTCTAAATTTTTTAATCTGGTGTTCAAGTCCTTTTCTCTGTTCACAATATGAACTTCTTTCACTTATGCCAACTTCTTCACTTATACTCTCTCTTCACCTTGTATCTTCTCCCTCCAGCACACATATCATTATTCACTCCCATCCTTTCTTTCTGACTACCCAAACCACCTCCATTCTTTAAGATCCAAATCTAGTCTTACCTCTTTTCCTGAAGCCTTCCCTAGCTGTATTGATCTTTCTTTTCCCCTCTAAACTCCTTTGACATTTATTGTTTATACTCAAGATTGCAGGGACCTAAAAAGTTTTTGAATCTAACTTCTTCATTTTACACATGTGGAAACTGAGGCCTAGAGAATTTTAATGGCTTGCCCAGGGTTACATAGTCTGTCTGCGGCCAACACTCTCTACTATACTAAGATAGCACTACGCTTAAATCTTTGCAGTATTTCTGGGAGTTATGAAGTATCCTGGGCAGCAGACTTGAAAACCTACTCACAGGATTTTTGTGACTTCTTTGTGACTTTGGAAGAGAAAAGGGTATTAGGGAAATGAACAACTAACTAGAAGTGATGATATTGAACAAGATTCAGGACCGTAGTTTAAGATAAACATAATGATAGATTCTTGGCTAGGAACATTATATCCCATAAAAACTAGGAAGAGTAGGCAGAGACTTTCCAGTCAGATCAATAAACTCAACCTGACAATGGAAGAGAAAGGGAGAAAATGGTCGAAATTAAACTCTTGAGGAAATTGGGTATGATATATAATGATAGAAGAATTGCCTGTTAGTTTGCAGAGGTAATTTGGCAGGGAGTGGGGCAGACTTGCTGCTTTAGGTGTCTTAGTCTACTGAATATGGATCATAAACAAAACATACCTGAGATTATAATTCCAGATTCAATTCAATAGTATCATCAAGACTTGGCGAGACAGTGCTTGACCATAGTACATCAATGGAAGGATCTTTTGTTCAAATGAAACATAATAGCATATCAGTAACTATCAAGAAAATCTATACCTTTTGTGTAAATTTACTAACCAAATGGGCTGAGCATAAAAGGAGAGACAAACAGAAATTATATCATTCTAGGAGGTATAATATAGACCACCTAGCCAGAAGGTAGTTTCTGATACAGATCACAAAATTGGTTCATACACATGATGAAAGACCATCTGTTGAAAATCTTACTCCCTAAAAGCAGAACAAATGATAAAGTACTTGACTTGGTGACAGTTTTACCTTATAGATGATAGAAGCAGCAGGAGACCTTCGACTCAGTTCTGACCAACCAGGAAGAGAGAATGAATGCAGTGGGAGCCATAAGATAAAATAGCGGTTATTAGCCAAAGAAAGGAAACTGAGTATGGTCAAGACATAGAATATGACTTACTTAGTAAAACATCTCAAAATCTACAGAAGTATGGCTTAAGACTATAAAAGGAAGTTAGCTCCAGACAGATGAGACTGTTTCAAAATCTAATTCTAGCAATAAAGTCATGAATGATACTCCTGTGAAAGAAATTGAGGAGACATCAAAAGAAACTGATATACTCTAATGGCTTCAGACTCAAAAAGGAAACTGGCAGAAGATGGAATCAGCAGAATATAATCAAAGAAGACTACAAAAAGATGGCATAGCTCTAAGAATAATGTCAGGAGGGCAAAAACTTGTGATGAGGGAATTGAAGCTGTTAAAATTTCAGGTAAAGGGACAGTTAATATTTGGCAACTCTTGAGTTTCAAATGCCTGGGTAGGATAAATTATCAGTATGGGTACTGAAAAGGCTTGTAGATGGAATAACTGAACCTATCATAAGTAGTCTTTCAAGAATTTTGGGAAACAAGACCAACATTGACAAGTATACTAGACTGATAGTACAGGAGGAAAACAAGCATTTATTAAGTGCCTACTATATGCCAGACACTGTGCTAAGCACTTTATAGTTATAATCTTGGGAATGTTATAGGCATAGTTAATCTGGATTTTAGCATGGCATTTAAGAACGTGTTAAGATAATTCTTTTGGACATGCTGGATGGGGGCTGGAGGTTGTATGATAGTACAATTAAGCAGATTCATAATTAGTGGAATGCCTATTCCCAGAGAATGTTAATCATCAGATCCAGGTTTTCCTGAAAGACCATTGCTGGTAGTGTACCCCAGTGATTTTACCTAAACTGTTCTGTTCAACACTTTTCGTTATTTGTAACTTTTTTATTAGTAAATTGGATGAAGATCTTGATGGCATGTTTGTCAGGCCTGGAGATGATATAATACTGACTAGAAAAGTTATTTAGTTGGGTGACAAAATAAGAGCTAAAAAATTCTGGTCAGATAAAGTAAGCTGAAAATAGAAAGGGATAAATGTAAGGTCTTGTCTAATTCAGAAATATCAAATACATTTGATAACTAAGCAGCATTTCATTTGAGGGAAAAAACTTTGAAGTTATACTTGATTTCAGGCTAGTTTGAATCAACAGTGTGTTGAGGCTACCAAAAAAAATTAAATTAATGGAAGTCTAGCTTGTAACCCCACTGTATACTTTGTACTGATCAGACCTCTCCTGGAGTATATAGATAGATAAATAAGAACAGATTTAGGGTAGTCACAAAAATGTTGAGAGTAAGCCATGTTATTAGAGAAATAGCTAATGGAACTTTCGTGTTTTGCACAAAGAAGGGAGAGGGTTAGAATGAGGAAGAGGAGGAAGAGAGAAGGTGCTAATAACTGCTTTCAAATACTTGTCCTGTGGAGATTCCATTTATTCTGTGAGTCTCTAACACAAGGACCAGTGGATGGAAGTTAAAGAATAGTAGATAGTAGTTAAACATAAGGAAGAACTTTATAAGAGATCTACAAAAATAAAATGCACTGTTTTTTGAAGTAATGGATTCCCTTTGTTCAAGCAGAGACTGATTACTTGCTGGGGTATTGTTGAGGGATTGGTCTAAATCTAAATGACTTCTGAAGTCCTTTTTGGGTCTTGAAGCCTGTAATTCTGCTATACACCTCACATTGTCTTATACAGTGTAGCTTTTTACTCTGCAAGCTCCTTGAGAATAGTGACATAGATTATTCTTGTCATAAAATTCTTCTCTCCATCTTCCCACCCTTTCTTTAATATAAGGAGGCTTAGTGGTGACAAATCAGTTAATCCATATCTAATGAAATTTATATTTCTTTCAGTGGGCATTCCTACGATTAAATGGTGTGGGGCAGAAGGGGACTATAATGTCATGGTGATGGAGCTTTTGGGACCAAGCCTTGAAGATCTCTTCAATTTCTGCTCAAGAAAATTCAGTCTGAAAACTGTCCTGCTACTTGCTGACCAGATGGTAAGAAATTGTTTTTGATGAGAATAAATTAAGTGCTAGGCATATCGTAGGCATGCAGTAAATATTTATTGGTTGATTGTCGATTTTGGAACATAGATTTGGTTTTTTGTTTTTCTCAGTGTTGCAAAACATTTAGGGGAAAGTAATACTCTCTGAATTATTGATAATGATTAAAATATTCAATGAGTCAACTGATTCTATATCTCTCTACCCAGCTAGTAGTTTTAGCACCAGCAAAACTTAACTCAAATTGCATGGGCTCTCATGTCCCATTCACAATCAGATTTTCCATTCAGATTCATCTTTACCAAAATTTCAGTGCTAATTCTTATGTTAAGGTCATGTAATTATAAGGTCCTCCATTAAAATCCTACTTTGATACCCTAACATGTATGGAGGTGACCCTGGCTTCTCCAAGGTCATGCCAGGAAACTGCAAACTCTGGCAGGCCTTATCAAAATGGAAGGGCTTCAAATACGGGTCTGTATATCTGTTGTCTGGACTAGCCTAGCTATATTCAGAGAGGCTCATCACTAGGAGGTTGACCACCAGATGGCTTTTTTGGCCACAGTAACAATCAGTCAAGATGAGAAAGAATTGCAGTCTGCATTGGTGAAAGGAGTACCCCACGCTGAAAGCAAGAATCTTTGGAAGTATTGGAAGTAGTAAGTACAGACGGTTCTTGCTTTATATAAGTGGACTGTTCTGCAGACCTCTACATAAATATAATGTGAATTTGCCAGCAAACATGGGGAAGGGGTGGAAGAGGCCAGCATATAGTTTAAGGACATTGGGGGCCAGAGACAGAGAAGTGAGAGCAAGAGAAGTACGTTGGGGCCAGGGCCAGCCATGTGGGAGCTTGACCAGAACCAAGAAGAATAACACAGAGGGGTGGACGTGCGGGGGCCAGACGCAGACAGATAGGAGAAGACAGACGATATGCAGGGGATGCTGGGAACAAACAGGTGATAGACACGCAGGCGGGAGGCAGAACTCAGAGTGGGGAAAAGGTCTCTCAGTGCTAGCGGTCTCAAGCCAAGCCTCTGAGCTGGTGGCTGTCTTTCTGTGGGTCCATTCTTCTGCTTTCACTTGGAGCAATTTTTTTGGTGTGGTTTGTTTTTGTTTTTGTGGGAGGCCACAGATCGCTGAGCCAAGGAGCAGGAGTAGAGCAAGCACATTACTGTACAGTAAAGTTAACAGGTGTTTTTTTGTAATGTGACTTTCTTTCAGAATTCTTATAGTCGGAACTTTTGTAATATGAATTTATGTGAAGTAAAAAACTGTATTACAAGATCTCTTCAGATACCTTGATGTCAGAGGACTACTGTGTGTACAGTACTCTGATAGGCCATGGTGCACAGGAAGCTGAATATGTTGCAGTTTCGATCCCATCTAATTTGTTTTTCGTAGCTTTTTACTTTGTTTTGATCATCTTTTTAAAAATGAGTTTTTTATTGTTATTTTCTGCTTCTTATTTCATTATCCCTTCTCACCTCCCACGGAGTCATCCCATGTGATAAATAACATTTTTAAGAAAGAAAAAAAATCCTCACAACTGATCATTACATTGAAAAAGTCTGAAAAACGTGTAATATGCAATACTTGTGGACTTCTGCTTTCACAAGAGGGCAAGTTGGGGGTGTTCTTTCATATCTCTATTTGAGTCTGCTTGCTCTTTATAATTTTGTGGCATTCATTTTTGATTTTTTGGTGTCATTCTTTCCATTTACATTATTGTAGTTACTGTGTATATTGTTTTCTTGGCTCTGTTCACTTCACTGTACATTGATTCACAGGGATATTTCCATGCTTCTCTGTATTTATCACACACGTTTATAGCATAGTTACATTCATGTACCAGAATTTATTAAGCCATTTCCCAGTTAATGGACATCCACTTTATTTCCAGTTCTTTGCTGTCACCAGAAGTGCTGCCAACAATATTTTGGTGTACATGGGAACTTTCTTGTGTCTTCCTTGGGGTATTAGACTAGTAATGAAGTCTCTGCTTCAAAAAATACAGACTTTATTTGCATAATTCCAAATTGCTTTTTAAAATGAATATACCATTTCACAGCTCCACCAACAATGTATTAGTGGGCCTATCATTCCACAACTCCTCTATCATTGATAGTTGCCCTCCTGTCATTTTGCCAGTTTGAAGCTGTGAAACCTCAAGGATGTTTTGATTTGCATTTCTCTTATTATTAGTGACTTGAAGCATTCTTACATATGCTTGTGAATAGTTTTTGATTTTTTTTTTGAGAACTGTTTGTTCATATCCTTTGACATTTATTGAAGAATAGCTATTAGTCTTAAATATATGCATATATCTTGGATAATAAGCCACTGTCAGAAAAATTTGGTACAAAGTTCTTTTAAGCAATTTAACCACTTCACTTCTTATTCTTGGTAGGTTAATTTTGTCTGTGAAGAAGCTTTTCAGTTTCATGTAAAGTGATAGTTTGATCTTTTGTAATTGCCTCTATCTTTTGTTTGCTTAAGAATCCGTCTCCTACACATAGGTTTAAGAGTTATCTGATCGTTTCTCTTCTAAATTTGTTATAGTATGATCTTTAATATTAAATTGATATATTCATTTAGAATACATTGTGGAATATGATGTAAGGTGCTTGTCTAAGCCCAATTTCTGCCAGATTGCTTTCCAGTTTTCTTAGCAATTATTATCACCTAAGGAGTTTTTCTCCGGGTAATTTGTTTTCCATTTTATCAAAAAACACTGAATTATTGGTTTCTGTTGTTTCTGATTCTCCCTGGTCTAGTCTATTCCATTGATCCTTCTTTCTTCTTTCTCCTTCTCTCTTTCTTTATGTTATTCAGTTGTTTTCTTTCATGTCTGATTTCCTGTGACCCCATTTGGGGTTTTCATGGCAAAGATACTGAAGTGGTTTGCCACTTTTTTCTCCATCTCATTTCACAGGTGAGGAAACTGACACAAACAGGGTGAAGTGACTTACCCAGGGACACACAGTTAGTAAGTGTGTCGGAGGCTTTATTTGAACTTAGGTCTTCCAGACTTCAGGCCTTAGATTTCCATCCATTGCACCATCTGGCTACCCAAAATGCAACTTTCTGAGGGCAAGGACTGTTTTCTCTATTCTTTTTATCCCCAGAACTAGCCCATAATTAGTGATTTGTTGTTGTTCTTGTTCTGCTGGGTCTGACTCTTAATGACCACATTTGGGGTTTTGTTGGCAAGGATACTGGCGTGATTTGCCATTTCCTCTAATCCCAACCCAAGTGTTCCATCCACTCTTCCACCTAACTGCCTCTCTTTCTATATTTTTTAACAAGTACCAGATGGTTTTGATGACTGCTGCTTAATAATGATGTTTGAGATCTGGAAATGACATTCCCTCTTTACCCTAACTTCTTTTCATCCTTTCCCTTGGTATTCTAGATTTTTTTTTTGAATGAATTTTGCTGTTGTTTTGTCAAATTCTATAAAGTATTCCTTTGATTTGATTGGTATAGTATTAAAATGTAAGTTAATTTTGGTGGTTGTCATTTTTATATTGACACAACCTAGCCATGAGCACTGAAGAAATACTTTGTAATTGAATCTGTACAAGTCTTGTGTGCTTTGGGAGGTTGATCCCCAAATATTTTATGCATTTTGTGGTTTATTTGAAATGGGGTTCTGTTTTTGCTTCTATGTTATTGTTATATAGAAATGCTATTGATTTTTGAAGATTTATTTTATAGACTGCAATTTAGCCAAAGCTATTGTCTGCCTCAGTTAGTATCCTTGCTGATTTCTTAGGATTGTCCAAGTAAATCATCATATTCTCAGCAAATAGGAATAGTTTTATCTCTTCTTTCTCTATCTTTATGCCTTTAATTTCTTTCTCTTGTCTTCTTACTGTTGCTAGTATTTCAAGAACTATATCACATAATAGTAGATAGTAGGCCCATCCTTCCTTCACTTTTTATTAGAAAAGTTTCAAGCATCTCCCATTTGTATATGATGTTTACTTTCGGTTTTAAATAGATCCTTTTTTAAAAAAATAAATTTGTTTATTTTTAGTTTTCAACATTCACTTCCATAAGATTTTGAGTTCTAGATTTTCTCCCTGTCTCTTCCCTACCCCCACCACAAGAGGGCATGTAAATTGATATAGGCTAAACACATACATTCATATTAAATCTATTTTCACATTAGTCATGTTGTAAAGAAGAATTAGAACCAATGGGAGAAACCATGAGAAAGAAGAAACAAAAAAAAGAGAGAGAGTGCAAATATTATGCTTCGATCTGCATTAAGACTGCATAGTCCTTTTTCTGGATGTGGAGAGCATTTTCCATCGTGAGTCTTTTGAAGTTGTCTTAGATCTGATAGATACTTTTTTGTTATTAAAGAAAGATCCTCTGTGCCTGTACTTTGTAGGGTTTTTTGTGTTGCATATTGAAATGATCGTGGTTTTTCGATGTTTTGGTTTTTAATACGATAAATTATATTGACCTTTTTTTTTTTTAAACATTGAACTATCTTTGCATCCCTGGTATAAATTCTATTTGGTCGTATTGAATAATGTCTTGGATAAATTGCTTTAATCTCTCAGAATTTTGTTTAAAATTTTCATGTCATTGTTTGAAATGGGGTTCTGTTTTTGCTTCTGTATTATTGTTATATAGAAATGCTATTGATTTTTGAAGATTTGTTTTATAGACTGCAACTTGGCCAAAGCTGTTGTCCATCTCAGTATCCTTGCTGATTTCTCAGGATTGTCCAAGTAAATCATCATGTTAGCAGCAAATAAGAATAGTTTTATCTCTTCTTTCTCTTGTCTTCTTACTGTTGCTAGTATAGTTTTCTATATAGTTTTCCTCTATAGTTTTCTATTTTTTCTTTCCCTGGTTTAGTCATTAGGACTATATATGTCTCATAAAAGGATTCTGATTGGGGCAGGTAGGTGGCACAGTGGATAGAGTTCTGGCCTTGGAGTGAGGAGGACGCGAGTTCAAATCCAGCCTCGGACACTTAACACTTACTAGCTGTGTGACCCTAGGCAAGTCACTTAACCCCGATTGCCTCACCAAAAAGGAAAAAAGGATTCTGGTAGAGTGCCTTAATTTTTTAGAATAATTTGGGAAATATGGATACTAACTGTTCTTTAAAAGTTTGGATAGAATTTGTCTATGAATCCAGGAATTTTTTTCCTTTGGTACTTCCTTTACAATTAAATCTCTTTCCTTTTCTGAAGTTGTTATTTAAGATTTCTATCTGATCTTCGATGATTTAGGTATTTTATATTAACATATTTCTTTATTTCTTTTGTGTTCTCGGTTTTGTTAGCATGTAATTATGAATGCTGTATTCTATTTTTCTTTTTCGTTCTAGTTTTGTTGTGATTTCACCTTGCTAATTTGCTATTTTATTGATGTGATTTTCTGTTCTCTTTAGTTAAATTAGCTAAGGGTTTATCCATTTTATTAGTCTTTTCAAAGAATCAGCTTTTAGTTTTATTGTCATAGGGTTTTTTTTTTGTTCCAAATTATTTCCCTTCTAATTTTTAAGATCTCCTTTTCTATACTTATTTTAGATTTGTTTATTTTTTTGGCTTCCTAATTTTAAAAAATGGACATTCGGTTCATTAATCCTCTCCTTTTTTATTTTGTTAATGTATGTTTATAAGGATATGATTTTTCCCCTGCGGACTGCTTTAGCTATAACCCAGAAATTTTGGTATGTTGTTTCATCATTATCATTTTCTTTTATGTAATTATAAATTGATTTTATGATTTGTTCTTTGACCCACTCGCTATTTAAGATTTCATTATTAAGTCTTCATTTGGGTCTGTACCTTTTGTTTGTGGTCCCTGAACTAATTACTGTTTTTATTGAGTTATGGTTTATAAAGGATCTGGTAACTATTTTTGCCTTTTTTATATTTTTTTGTAATCTCTCTCTGACCTAATATACACAGTCAGTTTTTGTAAAAGTTCCGTGTGATGCTGAGAAATAAGGTTTTTTTGTTTGTTTTTTGCAGTCCCATTTAAAAGGTGCCTGTTAGCTCTAGTTTCTCCAGCAATTTGTTCAGTTCCTTTTTGTTTATCTTTCTGTTTGACTTATCCAGAACTGAGAGAGGGATATTGAAATCTCCTGTCGCTCTTGTGTCACTATCTCTGTCTTCTTGTAATCTTTCCCTTATAAATTTGGATGTGAAGGTATTTGGAGCATATTGATTTGTTGTCTGTAATTCCTTCCAGCATATGATTTCTTTGTTTATCCTGTTTTATAGTTTGAATTTTTTTTTCTTTGTTCAGATATTATGGTGGCAGCTTCAGCTTTTTAAAATTACTTGTTATGTAGTAAATTTTCTTTTATCCCCTCAGTTTTATTTTGTGTATGTCTTTGTTTTTAAAAAATATGTTTCTTGTAAGCAGTGGATTGTAGGGGTTTGTTTTCTTATCCAATTTGTCATTCTTTTTTTGATTTATTGGATTTTTTTTAACATTTAAAGTTATGAGAGTTAGGTTTATATTTTCCTCCATCTATCTTTAACAATTAGGGTTTTTTGTTTTTTTTTTCCAGGTTATGATATTTTTCCTGTCTTCTGTAAACACAGTACTATTAATTCCTTGAGTTACTTTACCTTAATCTTTTTTAAGGTGACCCCATTCCCACTGGCTCTCTACCTTCACCCTCACATCCTGTCCTCTCATTTGTTACTCCTTTCCCTTGAGGGTTTTGCTTGTTAGTTCCTTTTTTCCCCTCTGTTTTTATCTGGTTATATATAATTCCTTCTTTTTTTCTCTCAATCAAGTAGATTCTCCCCTTTTTCTCTTCACCTTCTTCTAGTCCTATTCATTAGTTTTTTTAAATTTTATTTCTTTTCTGTATGCCCCTTTCAAAAAAAGAATTTCATTTACTCTCTTCATTATCCATCCTCTCTGTCTATTCTAGACCTCCATTCTCCTGATTCATGGCCCCTGTAATTATCTGGTCTCTCTCTATTCTCTGTATTCTTCATGCAGTCAAAAATTTCAAGGCATCCACCACAGGCTTTTTGCAGTGTTGGTTTCTGCCACTTCCTTGTAGAGCTTACCCCCTCTCCCCACTTTGCCTTTTCCATTGTGTCTCCTAAAACAATGCCAGATACTACAGTTGTCAGAGAGGTTACTGTCCCATATTAGGGCCCCTACCCCTTTATTATGCAGCTCTCCCACTCTTCAAGTTGCCCCCCAGGAGATCTGATTCCTTTCCTGAGGTAGGATGAGTGGACTTTGAAAGCACTAGATCCCTTAGACCACACCCAGCTTAAGGTCCCTATCTTCCTTCATAGACCATCTTCACCCATAGGAGCATTCATCAGTGGAATCCCTCCGGCCACCAAAGCAAAGCCTCCTTTCTTTCCTCCCCCCTTTTCAGTCTTCTTCCCCCTCTTCCCCACCCACTATCCTGCAGGCTGTTTTCTTTCTGAGGCTGCTGATTACCATCCTCCATTGTTAGCTCTCTATTTGATCCATCAAAATGAGTTCATGGACCATTCACACATTCCTGGCCCATCACACATTCCTCTCTTTCCTCCTGCTTACTCCACCCCCTTTCATGTATGTTCCTGTGTTGTATGAAAAACAAAACAAAACATGGATTCATCTATAGGCAGTGTCACCTTGTCCATGATACTCTAGGCCTGTCTTTTCACTGTTATCTCCACCAGACTTCCACCTTCACCTCCATTTCCTTGTGTAGATTTAGGAAGGCATCTCTTACTGGTGTCTCAGCTGTTACTCTGTTGCGGTTCATGGCTCCTGCATTTATTCACTCCATTTGTATTTCTCTTGTTTGTTTTGAGTATTTAAGAAGCAAATAATCTCTGTAGTTCTGGTTTTCTTCTTAAAAATGTTTTGAAATGCCTCTTTATTATTGAATGTCCACCTTTTTTCATTTATGGTTTAGCTTAGGTTTGCAGAGTAGGCCACCCTGGGCTGCATCCTGAGCTCGATTGCTCTTTAAAATACATTATTCCAATCTCTCCTAGTTTTCTGATAGGTGCAGAATATAGTCATGCATTATTAGAATGTCCTTTCCTTTGTATTTGAAAATCCTTCCCCAGGTAGCTTGTAGAACTTTTTGTTTCTGAATTGAATTGTTAAATTTAACAACTAGGTGTCTTGGAGTTTTTAGCCTTGGTTTTTTGTTTTTGTTTTTTTTCTGGGGATGATCTATGAATTCTTTCAATCGATATTTCTTTTTCTACATTCAGAAGTTCTGGGCAGTTTTATTATTTCCTGCATGTGATATTATTTGGGGGGGCAGATCATATTCTCTGGGAGACCTATGATCCTTAGGGTTTTTTTCTATGTCTTTAAGATCAGTATGTTTTGTTTGTATAATTAGCATATTTTCTTTTAATGCTATTGTTTTTTACTTCTGTATATTTGCATTGCATTCTCTTGTTCTTTTGTTTCTTTGAGATTTGCCATCATAGGTTCTAGTTTTTCTATTTTGTCCATTATTTTTGCTCTGCGGGTCATAAATTCTGCTCTCAGACTTCTCTTTTGTCTTTTGAGCCTCTCAGGAACAGTGTGTGGTAGTTCCATGTTTTCCTTACCATTCTGTAGGGTCTTCTTTGTTTTGCAGTATTTATTCAGATGCATAAACTCATTTGCTAGATCTGGAGGCCCTGTTTCGTTTCTTCTGTTGTTAAACGATTTCCTTGTTGATATATCTGCTTGTGTTCAAGACCTTTGAGTTTTCTTCTTCCCAAGATCTTTGGTAATTTTAGTCTTTTTTTTCTCCCCTGATTTTCCCCTCTTGCACACTTTCTGGCTTTGTCTTCTATGATGGTGGTTTCCTTCGGGGCTGGATCTCAAAGTTTCTCAGCCTCCTTTTACACCAGGTAATTCATGTTTCATCAACCCTGGTCTCTGCCTGAAGTGACTTTTAGGTAGCAGAACTTGCTCCAAATGAATGTTGAGCTGTTTATCTCCAGCTTAGTGGAGTGCTGCACAGCCCTCCACTCACAATGTCGTTACCTGATGTCCTGCCCACTATCTATTTTTCAGTTCTTTGGCCTGACACCAGCAGTTTAGAGAGTTGCTACGCTGGTGCTATGTGATTGTCCACTATGGCATTGGCAGCCCCAGCAGGTCAGAGCTGTGCAGCACTAGTGCTACAGGGTTGTCTGCTGCTGCAGTGATGGCAGCTCCCAGCATGCCTTGGCTCCTAAAGGGCTTCTGGAGCACTTATTGTTAGGAGTGAGCTTTGGCAGCCTGGAGCTGGAATCTCCAAGGCAGTGGAGGAAGGGGTCACCAGAATACAGAGGTATATTTTGTTGCAAGGCCTTAAGTCCTTGAATCTGCTAAATGCTGCCTCACTGCTGGTAGTGTGTGAGCTAGGGGACAGGTGCTGAGTGAACTTAGTGTCAGTGAACATCATGGGTTTGGGTTTGGGTTTTTATTTTTTACTTGCTTTTGGATTCTGGGTGTCCATGACCATGGAGACAGCTGAAGTTGTTTTATCTTTGGTGCATAATTTCTGTTCTGGAGAGGTTTGAGATGTCATGGGGATGAGAGAAAATATCTAGTCTTCCATCTTGTTGCTCACATCTTGATCATCTCTTTTTACTTCTTGCTTATAGATTAGTCGGATTGAATACATTCATTCAAAGAACTTCATCCACCGTGATGTGAAGCCGGATAATTTTCTTATGGGACTGGGAAAAAAGGGTAACCTGGTCTACATCATAGACTTTGGGTTGGCCAAGAAGTACCGGGATGCTAGGACCCATCAGCACATACCCTATCGTGAGAATAAAAACCTCACAGGAACTGCTCGTTACGCCTCCATCAACACTCATCTTGGAATTGGTGAGCCTGTGTATAGTATACTCTTCCGCCTAGAAAACTGGGAGTCATTGACCTAAGAGAGCCTTCTGGACTACTTATCTCTCAAATCTGGAAATGTAATAGCTGCTAATCTGTGTTCTTGGGCATCATCAGAATGTGCTAACTTCAAAGTTTATGGAACCAGTGACCATTAAGTCCTTGGGGCAGATAGTTTGTAGTTTCTGAGTAACTGAATTGAAAGCATTTTTTTTTTTTTTTTAAGGATTTGAGGAGCTGGCAACTGTTTGCTTTTTATTTACAGTCAGTCGATTATGGGATTATTTTACCTCAGTCTAAGGGTTAGTTGACTTAGTTTAAGGCAAGAATGGCAATTTATTATAAATCCAAAGGACCCAAGAAGTTTTTAAACATTTACTTCGTGAATTTTTTTTGTTACTTTTTAAAAAATACAGTGAATGAATGCATGTTGTCACCCTGTCACGTAGTTTTCTTTATCCTTTCTCTTCAGAACAATCTCGAAGGGATGACTTGGAGTCCCTGGGCTATGTGTTGATGTACTTCAATTTGGGGTCCCTACCCTGGCAGGGGCTGAAGGCTGCTACCAAGAGACAAAAATATGAAAGAATTAGTGAAAAGAAAATGTCCACTCCCATTGAAGTGTTGTGTAAAGGCTACCCTTGTAAGTCTCTATGGGGGTCTACTTGTTCCACATTGTTAAATTGTCATTTAGAAAGTTATAAGTCTGTACTGTCACTGTGGAAGAAGTATAATACAATAACAAAAAAAATTGTAATAATCTTGTTTCTCAGCACCTCCATTTTGTCCTTAAAGGAAGCATTGTGGAAGGAAACATTTTTTCTCTCCACATACCAGAAAAGTGACAGACAGTTAATGCTTTGCACAACCTTTCCTTATCTTCTTTGCTCCTTAAATGTTGAACATCTCTTATTGTCAAGAATAGACAGGTTTCTACTCCATAGCCTTACCTCATTTCACTTGCTGCTGAAACAATTCTTCTTTCAGCTCCTGATGTGATTTTTCCATTACCTTTTCTTCATGTTCTTCATCTGGGCATTCCCAGAACACGTGCCTCAGTTCTTAGTAGCATCAGTTTCCCAAAATAAATTTCCTTCTGGGATCTAAGTTCCAGAACAATGATGAGTACCTCAGATTTCATTTATGCTTTAGATCATAGTTCTATTTTTTATATGTTTAGAACAGTAGAAGATAAAAATAAATGCAAGCAAACTGTAGGGGAAAAAATTATACTAATACTCAAACCAAGTTTCCATACCATGAATACAGCTTTGAGTTTCTCAATGTTTTGCAGCTGAATTTGCCACATACCTGAATTTCTGTCGTTCATTGCGTTTTGATGACAAACCTGACTATTCCTACCTGAGACAACTCTTCAGGAACCTGTTCCATCGCCAGGGTTTTTCCTATGACTATGTGTTTGACTGGAACATGCTCAAATTTGTAAGTACCACTGTCATTCCTTTTAAGGACTAGGGTTCACAAATAGGATTTTACTTTTGGTTTTTGAGTTATTTAGGTAGTATTTCCTATTTTCTTCCTCCCTTTTAAAATCACTTGGATAATTATGATCCCAGTAACATTGAAATGCAGGAGTAAAAGGGGAAAAACATTGGAGTCCTTCAAATGTTTTTGCTGTACCTGGCAGTCTCCTGACAACCTGGATGTATACCGTGGGTCATCACGACAGCCTGGTCCCAGGAAATGGACTAATGGAGCCTTGGGAATTGTGTTCTGACTTATTTTGAAAAACCTATCCAAGTGTCATCTTAGATCTTTCATTGGAGTTTTTATTTCCTTTGCCCATAGTTAATTCATTTTGCAAATCCCAGTGCCATACTTCTGCTGTCCCTTGGACCTTTTTTCTTCCTCTGACAACACTGGGTCAGTGATATTTGGTACAGAACTAGTAAGAATTCAGGTTTATGCTGTTCTTCCTCTTTTGTTAAGAATTCATTCTGTTCAGTTATCAACTCAGAACAGAAATTGAAACCCTTCCAGGGTGACAAAATCTACAGCTTACAGAGTTAAACCTCTTCCTCAAAGAGTACACAAAAACAGGAAGCTTTAGAATGACTTTACAGATGAAGAAGGGCTAACCAGTAATAGCGAATGTTTTGCTCCAGAATTTGGGGTTAGTTTCATTTTTGCCAAGTTTAAACATTTGCATTTGGAGAGAGTCAGGATCACTTAGAGAACTTTGAAGAATAAGAAAGAATGGAACAGATATCTTAAGATTGGAGAAGACCAAATGTCCTGATTTTTTTTTTAAGGGGGTTGGAATGGAACAGGGTTGGAGTGTAAACGTAAGTCAGCAACTTCATCCTCAAAAATTATAATATATTAAATAGGTGGTTTGTGAAAGTGTTGAAAGGTGAGTTGTGACCACCAAGAGAGCTAGCATGGCTTCATCAAAAACAGCCATGCCAGTCTAACATAATTTTTCTGACAGGGTAACTCAACTGGAAGATGAGGAAAATGCTATCGAAGTAGTAGGTATATTTGACAAAGCTGTTCTTGTTATGCTTGTGACGATGGAGAGATTTGATCTAGGTAAAAACTGGTGAAAAACTGGACTCAAAGAGTAGCTATTAATGGCTCTGTGTCAGCCTGGAAGAAGGTCTCTATTGAAGGGAATTGGGAATCTGTCTTTTGCCCTGGACTATTCTTCCTTTTTTTTTTTTTTTTTTTTTTAAATCAGGGACCTATGAATGAAGTACACTTATCTAATTTTTGGGTGACATTATGGTAGAAAGGATGGCAAATTGGATGACAGAATCAGCATTCAGAAAGATCTTGGCTGCCTAGAATAGTAGGCTAAGCCAAATAACATAAAATTTTATAGGGATAGATATAAAGGCCTATGTTTGCATTCAAACAACCGCACGATTCCAAAATGGGGAAGCCATGGCTGGGCAATATTCATGTGAAAAAAAATCTGAAGGTTTTAATGGCCTGCGTATTCAGTGTAAGTCAATATGATATGGCGGCCAAGAAAGTGAAGGTCCATCTTGGGATACATTATGAAAGGCCTAGAGTCCCAAACCAGGGAAGCCAGTATTCTTCTGTTCTTTTCTCTGGAGAAGAATGTTCTATACTGAGTATCCCATCTTAAGATGAAGACAGGAGATAATTGGGAGCAACCAGAAAGCTGATGGGCATCAAAATCTTGCCCAATGGGAATTCCTTGGAGAACAGAGCAGACACTTGGGAGAACCATGAGCGCTGTCTTCAAATATCCAAAGAGTGTTGGGTAGGAGAAAAATTCAATTTGTTTTTCATTCTTGGCCCCATAGGAAAAATTAGGGCCACTGGGTGGAAGTTGCAGAGAAGTGTATTTCATTTTAATGTAAGGAAGGTTTTCCTTTCTGACAGAGATCTAAAAATATAATAGACTCTACAAATAGTAGGTTCCCCTGGATGAATGCTTTGAGGGAAGACATATTATAGAGAGGCTTCTTGGCTGGATTGGACCAGATGGCCTCTAGTATCCCTGTAGAGTCTGTGATTCTGATACTAGATCAACATGAATGATGGAACTTGAAGGTGTTAAGTTAAATCATTCATTCATAAGCTGTATGGGGAGAAACCCAGATATTTTTTCCCATATTTTAGGAGTTAAATATTTTTATTCTGTATGAATTCAACCTATTCACTTCAGTTGTATAATAAATGACTATAATTAAGAGGTTTCCATGGAGGGGTCATTGGAAATTTTGTAATTTTTCTTTCGTGCTATCCCTTTCTTCTGAGTAGAGACATCATAGACAGGGTTCCTGTTGTTGAACTCTAGTTCTCAAGAAAATGGCCTAGGGGATTTAGAAACCTGCAGAACCAAGAGGATGGGAATCTTTCTAGTGCAGTTGAACATACTTATTGGTTCTTCTACTCAAAATTTGGTTTCTCAGCATATACCCTAACTGACAGAGTCACTTATAATTTTTCTCCTTGTGTTATTTTCTTTCTATCAAGGGAATTTATTAGTCCTTAAAAATTGGTTGGCCAAGAGTGTCATAGCTTAAGTGTCTAAAATGAAATGTGTATGAAAATACTTGATAAATTTTAAAGCCCTTATCTGAGATGCTGCTGCTGGTGGTCCTGTGGTGGTAGTAATAACAACAGAGCAATGTACCCATGGGTTTGCGATTTGTGCCATATTCTTAATTTGGAGTCTACACTATGAATGCAGCCATATGCATCCACATCCATCCTCACCTGGCATAACCTCTTCGGTGATAGCACTTTGCCTTTTCTGTCCTACCTACCCTCTTGACATGCTAAATGTAATTCACTTAATGATATCTCTTACCCTCTGGCCTGATTCTACCAGGTCAGATGTTTCTGCACTTTAGCAGCATCTGGTTTCATACCTACTTTGTCCTTCTACTCACCCTCTCTGTACCCCTTCTTTGACTGTACCTTGGCTTTTGGTAGTCTGTTTGTCTTATTACCTGGTACTGCTTCTATCTCCCCCAAAGGTCACATCATAGTACATGAATGTTTTGTGTGATTTGCAGGCACAGATAGAATTAAAAGGGGACATTCATATAATCAATAGTATAGATACAGGGTTTGAAGGAGCTTTTCAGAGCTTTGACCTTGTCTATATGATTGCATTTAGGAGTTGTGAGAAGCAGTTTCTCTTGCTTAGGAAGAAAGGAAAGAAACAAGCATTTATTAAGCACCTACTGTGTAGGCTAAGTGCTTTATAAATATACAACCCTGGGAGATAGGTGCTATTATCCCCATTTTTCAGTTGAGGAAACTGAGGCAAAGAGAGTTTTTGTGACTTGACTAGAGTCACACAACTAGTAAGTGTCTGAGTCTGAATTTGAATTCAAGTCTTCCTCACTCCAAGCCCAGCAAGCACTTGAGGTGGCTTAACAGGGTTCTGCCCTTGTGATAACAATAGGAAGTCTCTTAACCTTTTCTTGTTGTTAATCTCATCACAAGACAAGTCTTCCCCCCAAATATAGCTTAGTGTTTTCTCAAGTGGCCAAATAATTGTAAAGGAATCTTGATAAAGTTAGCAGTAAGCCAGGTCTGATAATGTTGACCTTCCTTAGGGTGCCAGCCGGGCAGCTGATGATGCCGAAAGGGAACGCCGGGATCGAGAGGAGCGATTGAGACATTCCCGAAATCCAACTACTCGGGGTCTCCCTTCCACTGCATCAGGCCGCCTCAGGGGAACACAAGATGTAGCTCCTCCCACTCCCCTCACCCCTACCTCACATACTGGTAAGTGGGCGAACAAAAGCCGCTTTCCCTAGGCCTTTTTTTAGCTGGTAGTTTATTTTTGTTTTCTTTTTTTTCTAATTTAACTTTTTTTGAAAGAGTTGATGGTTCAAGAACCATGCCCTAGATTTAGAACTTGTGAGATCTTTTTCCAGCTCAAGCTCCAACTTGCTCTGGGGTCATATACAAATTGATAACCAGTTAATTTGTTAACAGATTTTATGTCAATATCGACTACTATTTATCAAGTTTATTCTGATAATTACCCCTAAGCAGATGACATGGCTCTCTTGGAAAAAAATACCTTTATGAAAGCATTTCACAGAATAACAAAATCTGACAGTTGGAAGGGATCTCAGAGGCCATCTCATACAACCTATCCCCATATGCAAAAGGAATCCCCGCTATAATATGCACCCAAAATGATCATCCAGCATCTGCTTAGAGCCCCCTGAGGTCAGGCCAGTCTACTTTTAGACTGCTCTAATTTTAAAGAAGTTTATCTAACATCAAGCCTAAATTGACCTCTTTGCAACTTCTGTCTCTGGTTCAGCTCCCTGGAGCCAAAAAGAACAAGTCTAATCCCTCTTCCACTTGCAATTTTTGAACATAGTTATTGTGTCCCCATGAGTCTTCTCTCCAAGCTGAATTTGCCAGTTCCTTCAACGAGCCCCATATAGCATGGACTCAGGACCCTTCACCATCCTGGTTGCCCTCCTCAGGACATACTCCCCTTTATCAGTGCATTTCAAATAGTAGTGCCCAGAACAGAACTCAATCTCCCTTGCCCCCAAGCGTGAGGTCTTATGAGAGCAGAATGTAATATTATTATCTCCTTACTCCGAGAAGCTGTGCTTCTCTTAATGTACATCAGGATTGTAATAGCTTCATTGTCTGCTGCATAACATTGCTGTCATGTGGAGTATGCAGCCAGTAAAACCCCAAGATCTTTTTCAGAACAACTGCTATCTATCCATACCTTCCACCAGCTTACATTTGTGGAGTTGATTGTTTTTTTTTGTACCCAAGTGCAAGTTAGCTTTACATTTATCCCTGTTGAATTATTAGAATCAGCCCAGTGTTCTAGCCTGTCAAGATCTTTTAGGGGATGCTAACCCTATTGTTAAACTATCCCTTCGAGCTTTGTGTCACCTGCAAATTTAATGAGCATACCTCCTATGTATTTATCTATGTAAGTCGTCAGGCCAAACGCAGATGCCTCGGGTAAGAGTATAGCATAGACTGTTGGGCCTAAGAGTCAGAAAGACCTGAGTTCAAATTTGGCCTCAGACATTAGCTTTGTGACCTTGAACAAGTCACTTAATCTGTTTGCCTCAGTTTCCTCAATGGTAAAATGGGGATATTAATAACATTTGCCCAACAGGGTTAGTTATGAGGATCAAATGAGGTATTTGTAAAGCTCTTAGAATGGTGCCTGAAACATAGTAGTTACTTACTAAATGCTTATTCACTTAGCCTTCAAAGCTCAAATTGAACCATAAACAAACTGCTCTTGAGTCCAGCCATCCAGCTAGTTCTGATTCCATCTGATTGTATTCTCATTTATCTAATCCTCTTCTTTCCATTTTCTCTCCACAAGGATAGTATGAGATACTTTGTCAAAAGTTCTGCCAAAATTTGGTAAACTACACCCATGACATCCCTCTTATCTGCTATTTTACTCATCCTATTAAAAAGGAAGTTAGGTTATTCTGCATGACCTTCTTCATTGAACCCATGCTGGCTCTTTGGAATCACTGCTTCCCTTTCTAGATGGCACCAGTCATCTCTTTAATGATCCATTCTAGAATCTTCCTGGAAATCAAAGTCAAACTCACTGGCCTATAGTTTATAGGCTCTATTTTCTTCTCTTTTTTGAAAAGTAGGACAATATTTGCTCTTCTCCAGTTTTTGTGTACATCTTCAATACAGTTTATCACTGAAAGAAGCTGAGCAGTCACATCAGCCAGTTCTTTCAGGGCCTGAGGAGATATCATTTGGGCTAGATTACCTGAATTTAATATCTCCTTACTTACCTTGGGTATCAACTCCCTATTAGTCATTTTTATTCTGTCATTTCCAGTATAAAGGCCATTCTGCTTTGTAGAGAAAACAAACAAAAGAAAAGTTGAGTAATTTTGCCTTCTTCTTTCTTATCAGTTAGCAACATTCCATCCACCCCAGCCAAAAGTCATATACCTTCTTTGATCATTTTGTACCCAGTACAGTTGAAAATAAATTTTTTTTGTTTTCCGTAACTTCCCTCATAAGCCTTAGCTCATTCAAAGGGTTAATATCTGTAACACTATTTTTACAGGATTATTCTATAAACTCATTTTCTTCTTCAGTGGAGCTGTTTCCCTTTGTGTCTTCAGAATTTCATTTCTGAGCATCTGCCATCCCTCCTGAGCTTGCATCCCCTCAGGCATTTTACTCCCTGGGATTCTACCTATCTTTGCTCTGAATCCTTTGAAATCTGCTTTCCCAGCCAGGTGTGGTAGTGCACTACTGTAATCCTAACTACAAGGCTGGTGAATCTCTTGATCTCACAGTTCAGAATTGTTAGAGGTTATATGCCCAGGTCAGAAAATGGAGCAAGTTGAAACTCCACACTGATGAGTATTGAGATTGGGCCTTTGAAGGGACCTAATCTTCAGGGGGGAAAAGAAATTCTGGTTTCCCAAAATTTGGGATACACATCAGACTATGTCTCGATTTCTTCTTCTCTCTCATAAACTCTTAAGATGAAATAGTAGCTTGCCCACAAAGTTTCCACCGTTTTCATTACTAACCCACTTCTGTCTGTTAGTGAGAATCTTACCCAGAATAGAATTTCCTTTTGTTGGTTTCTCTTTCCTTTGGAAGGATAAAAAATTATCATTAAACCACTTAATACCTTTTTTTTTATCCCATCATTGTCCATATGTAAATTGTACTTTTCCTCTCAATATATTTTGATTCGGTAGTTGATAACTAGGTAGCAAAGTTAGATTACTGGACTTGGAGTCAGGAAGACCTTAGGTCTGCCTCAGGTCCTTGATAGTTATGTGACCTTGGGCAAGTAACTGAACCTTTTTGAGTCTCAGTTTCTTTATCTGTAAAATGAAGGGGTTGAACTTGAAAACTTCTAAGATTCTTGCTAACCCTAAATCTATAATCCTGTGAATGGGTCCCCAGTCTTTCCTCTTTTGCTTCATGGTATTTTCTGGTTTGGGAATGTATGATGATTTTTATAAAAGATTTTGCTGCTAAACCAGTATAAACAAAGTCCTCATTTGGTGCTAATGTAATGCAAAGTTCCATAATACCTGTCTTGTTATTTTAATCGTTTGAGTAAATAAATAGTCTGGAAAGCATTGTAACATCTTGCAAATGGACCAGCATTGTCAGTATTTATCCCATCAAGCTTGTCTCTGAGTTTGAGGTTGCAAGATAACCAGTGGTGTCATAAAACAAAGCTATTCATGTGCCTGATATAAAGGTGTTGAATGAACTTGTTGAACCTGATTTCAAAAGTAAAATATGCTAAATAGTGGAGTTTGAAGCTAGATTCTAAGATAGGTGAATAAAGAGAGCCTTTACAGTTTCACTCATTGTATCTTTGCACCTAGCTAACACCTCTCCTCGGCCTGTCTCCGGAATGGAAAGAGAGCGGAAAGTGAGTATGAGACTGCATCGTGGTGCCCCAGTCAATATCTCTTCATCTGATTTAACAGGCCGACAAGATACCTCTCGCATGTCAACCTCACAGGTACGAAATTTGGGCACGCCTTAACCAGGGGGAGAGCTAGGGATCACAGCATGGTAATGTGTGTAAATGTGACTCCTCAGTTTTAATCTGCTGCTTCCCCTGCACTGACTAGACAAAATGGATCCCCCATGTCTTGTGTGTGATTTAAGGTTTTGTTTTTCGTTCCTTTACCTCAGGGATATGAGTGGAGTAAGGCCTATTTGAAATCTTTTGAATATTTTAGAAGTCTTCCCAGCTTCCTGGGTCTCAGATTTGTAATAGCTGTTTTCCTGCCAAGGTTGAGATTCACCAAGGGAGTTGAGCTATACATACTTAAGGACCCTTTTCCTTAAAGGAGCCAGTAAGCAAAGAACCATTGAAGGCCTTTTCTCTTCTTGTTATTTAATCCCTCCTATGTTTGCCTCCCACTGAGTACTGTGATCATGTACCCTGGACTTGCGTCTTTCATAGACATAATCTAAGCAACAAACTGCCTGTATCTCTTGTTGATATGACAGGCCATTCTTATAGGCCCTGCTTGGAAAAGTTTTCCTCATTCTTTTTAGTTGGAGAGCTAAACCCTAGTAAAGAGCAAGAAGAGTCAAGGTATTGATTTTTAAAAAAAAAAAAAAAGTTAATAGCTTGTAGTGGGAGTCATTGTGTAGTGAGCCGGTTTCCCTTTGTCCTTCTGGACACATGTCAAGTCCTGGGTACACATGTTCCACAGTGGGTGATAAATAACTTTCTTTTCCTTAGTACAGTATTATGGAATTGGGTTAAATTTGGTTTCATGCCTTCTCTGTATCTTGTTTGCTCTCTTCACTAATGAGAACTTGCCCATTGAAATAAATATAAACTTGATGCACAGTGGAGGCAGCAGAGCCATGATGAAGAATCCTCAGCTCCAAGCCAGGCCTCAGATTTCTCCCTCTTTAACCACTTTATTCCATGCACATTCTTTTTCTCTCATCACTCTGCTTTGATGCGTACCTACTTCAACAAACTGGGACAGATCTTTACATGTGTTATCAATTTTTTTTCCCCAGTCACCTTTCCTTTTTGTTCCCCACCCCCGGCAGTTCCTGTATGTTCGTGGTGCCCTTTGAGTAATTAGAATAGACCAAAGCAAAATCTGTCTTTTGGTCCTTGGTCACTTGACTCCATGCTTGTTTACGGCTTGTTTACTGGCAAATGTCCTGCAAAATTTTACATATAGGATATGAGTTACCCAAGTCAGTACTGGAATTCTTGATTTGACACAAGTCAGTTTGAAAGATTAGCTGGAAGATTGGTTCTTGTGGTGGCTCTTGAAATGACATCCTTGTTAATTGTGATACTTTTTAGTTTCTAAATAAGGATAGACTTCTTACTTAATTGAAGTTATAGTTTGGTTAGTGAGTTAAGTGTGTTGGGTGACAGTACATAGAGTGACAGAGAATAAACCCTGCATTTATCCAAAATTGTAACTGTATAACTTAGTCTTATGGAGAAGAAAATTGCTTTCCAAGTTCCCTTTATGATTTTTTTTCCTCCTTTTTAAAATGGTCATTTATTTGGTGAAGGTGGGACACATATAAGAATGTTTGACTATTTCTGGGAATGGCAGACAATATTGATGAGGTAGCCAATTTCCCTATTAGGAGTATGAGATCTGGAGCACACTACCCCCATGGATGGTACTTAGTAATTAATCGAATTTTAGATTTTGAAAGTATTTTATTATCTAATCAATAGAAGTGGCCTAGTATGCCTTTTCCCCCACGAACAGTGAAATGGTCCGGTGTGGAATGTAATACACATGCTAATCTATAGTTCATTTCCATTTATACCTCTAGCATTCATGTTAATTTAAAGACCACTTACTCCCCTAGTAGTTTTGGAGAGCTCTCAGAAATTAGGGTAAACAGTACTAAGGGAGGTGAACTGGTTTTTCCTGAGTACCTCTCTTTGCCTGGTCCTGCCTAGACTCGTATTCTGACTTGGCTTTGGGGATCTAAAAATTGTGTGTGATACTTATAGGGTTGTTTCATATTCTATGGCACTTTGGCCAGTTAACATTTGACCAGTAGGGTTGGAATACCTAATTTAAAAAAATAATAATAATAAAGCAAAATGAATCATCTATTAAAAAGTTTGGATCTAAAAGAAAATTATAGAGATTCATAATCAGTATTTTGGCTGTCAGAGATGTTGGACCAATTCTTAAATCAAAGTTTATTAACCTCTCCTGCTACCTTTTGATGTTCTCATAGTTAAGTAATATGAAACATAGGAGGTGCCCTGTACCTTTTGCAAAGTCCCTGAAAATTATAGAGGTGACTTCACAATATTTGATTGGCAGAGAGTCTCTGTTTCTTTTTCTTCCTTCAGAATGGTTCTGTTGGCTTTTAGCTCTTGTTCATTTCACTTTCCCCTTACCTAATCAAGAAGGGTAATATTGATTGGCAGTCCAGGGCTTTGAATGTAGGGAAGAATCTTCAAAGATTTTGATACTCAGTAACAGTATGTCCTCTTTAAGAGGACAGACAGCCTCAACATTTGTCAGTGGTCTTTACTTGGGAGGGGTCCTTTGAAGGCACCAACGACTATATAGATAGCTAGATCAGAGACATTTCTTCCTCCTGCAGACCGTTCAACAATTTTCCATCTTCTGAAATTCAGCTAAAGATACTTTATGAAAAGGCATTTTGCATCTTCTGCAGATGCAAACCTGTGTCATCAGCACATTCATATTTTCCCCCTCAAACCCCCCTAGTGGGTTCCTGCCTGTAGAGAACATTTCTAGATCAGCCATGATGTTTGCAAAGAATATTGCTATACGGTAGGTAGGCGATAATACAGTGACTCAGTCAGACAGAAGCTGCCATATTTCCTGGATCATTCCATAGACTGCCCAAGAGCTAGCAGAAGCTTCTTCCCACTAACTGCCTCTCGGGGCAGCTGTCTACTCTTGAATCTTAGCTCTGGTTTTCCTTTCTATTTTCTTGCAGTCCCAGGAAATGTCCCAGGGGGATTGGGGGGAGGGGGAGATCTTCTCTATCTCATCATCTATACAGTTCTTACAGCAGCAAGTGTGTTTTGAATCTATTAAAGCATCGACTAGTGAATTCAAGAGATTTCAGTTGTTTCTGAATGTATAGATTACCATTGGTGTAAACACACTCTTAGCCTCTTAAGAGACTCAAGTCTCATTTATTTCTCAAAGACTTAATGTGTAATTCAGTCTGAAAAATATGTAAGATGCAGAATAGGAAAGGGGCAGAGATGGGCTACATCTCAATAACACAGTTTATAATTTTGGAAGCCTTCATTTTTAATGAAGGTTGTTTGTTACTAAAGAAAGTCATGTGTTGCCTTAAGAAGCCATTTTTTAAGAGGAAGAAGGTGGGGGAAGGAGGGGAATGCAACCTCTTTCACTTCTAGAACTCAGCTTCTTCCACTTTCACACTCCTACGTGGCATCTCTGAATGGTACCTTTTCTATGATGTTACATAGATGAGCTCAAGGTTTTCAATTCTAGTGACTCTGGGATTCTGGTTATTCTTTTCCCTGGTCCCTCTCCCCAAAATCTGGTTTAAGTCCTTTATTCTCCAAGTGAATAGCAATCAGCATCTAGCTCATTCATCATTAACTTGTGACCATTACATCCTAAGGAAAAGAAAAATACTACCAATTTAGAAAAATTATCTTCTTTCTGAAATTAGCTTACTTTACCTGCTGGTCATCAAAAAAATTGTCCTGCTCAGAAGATATCTGGGTCCGGGATTCCTGCCCTTTGGATTGCTACCCTTTGGATTGCTGCTAGGTTTTACCACTTATGTCTCAGAGCTGGCATTCTTTTCTATGCTACCAAGAATTTGACAGTAACTCAGTTTCTCTCTCTGCTGGAATCAGTTTGAAAGATTTCCTTAGTGTTTATAAATGGACTTCCTTGCCAAACTCTAGGGACTGTTTCTAGACTGTTACTTAAGGTGCTTATCCCTTCAGGGGCATGCAATAGAATTTGTTAGTCAAGATACAGGAGCCTTTGCATCCACGGGATCCAAACAGCTTGATCTCAGAATTTGCTGAAGTACAGAAATTTATCCATTTTGACTTATTCTTCCACAATCATTGACCAGCTCTCTCAGCTTAGTGTTTAAGGATGAAGTTAAATACATCCAGGATTTGGAAACAACTGAGTAGAGGAAATTCATACAGAATCTGTTCTCTTGTCTGCCTTCTTATGGATTAGCTTTAAGAAGAAGAATGACTAGCTTCCCTAATTTGGGGCTGAAAGACTTAAGCAATATTTGGCAGGAGAGGGGATGGTTGGGGGCAATACGAATTCTCTTGGGTCAGAAGTCTGGCTAATGTTTGCTAGGCAGTATACTTGGAAGGGAAAAAAAAGCGTGTCATCACCTGAGATTCTCCTTTCCCCAATATTTTCTTTTAAAAAAAAGTGCCAGATAGCAGGCTCTTGTAAGAGCTGGTTATAAAAAGGTTTCTGCATGTATATGTTATGGATCTGGTTTTGAGATTAGGAGAAATGAAGATCTTTGGAAATAGGGGCTGCACTTAGGAAGTCAGGTGGGACGATGACCTCACAATGCTGTGTTTGGCCAGCAGGACTCTTACCAACAGCTGTCTTTTCCCCCCAACTCAGAATAGCATTCCTTTCGAACACCACGGCAAGTAGCTGCTCGTCTACCCGTTGGAAGGCAGCACTGGGTGAGTGTGTTGATGTTCGGTTCCATCTCATTAGCCGTCAAGACTCAGGGGCTGGGGTGGGAACTGACCACCCTTCTTCCCCTGTCCTTCCCACCTTTGGGAGCCTTTAGGTGGGGCTGGGCTTGCATGCCAGGTACTTGAGTTAGATTGAGGTTTTTTGGTGTGGATTTCAAAGCAGCTGGTTACTTTGCATGGGAGAGAGCAATCTCTGCATTGAGATGTGGATCTAAATAAGTCCAAGAAATGGAATCCAGTTGTACTTTTGACAAAGACCTGCCTTCATATTGTCTCATCAAAGCAAAGGGCTTTCTTATAAATGAAACCCATTTAATGTTGTAGATTCTTCACATTTTCCTCTCCCCCGGTTCATGCTTCTCCCTGCCAAAGACTTTGTCAAATCCTGCTCTGTTTGATCCTGTACCACTACATTTGCACCTGGCTGTTTGGAGCCTTCTGAGGCTGGTGTCTTAAACAGGCATGATGGCATCAATCTACCTATTTGGAAACAGATAGGACCAGGCTGTTCTTTGTTTTATAGTGTTTAGCTGAGGAGTTCCATGCTTAAGTTGGGGTTAAATTTTTTAGTTCTTACCGAGTTGAAAGACCCACAATGGTCTTCACGCCTCCTAGCTTCTTTTCGTCACCTCTTCTGCTCTTCATTTCTTTTTGTGCTCTCATGTTGTTTTTCTTTTCAAACTCAGTCACTTTGCCAACCTTCTCATCCATACAGCTACTGTCTGTATTAACCCATCTAGCTGTAGCCACCTGCTCTTTACTCTTCCCACACCCCCTTTCCCTTGCTGCAGTTGGTGCATGGCTGGGAGCTCCTGCTTACTTCTCATTCGCAATTCAACACTCTGCATTTCCTGTGAACAGCAGACTTGCAGCTTTGGTCAGGTCTAGTCACTGCTGCGTGACACCTGTAATTTAACGTTGTAGGCATGGAAATATCTTGATGGGAGCTACTTCTCACATCTTCTCCCAAAGGGGAGCGTCTTAGTACTCAGCTGGGGCTTGTGTAGCCATTTCCAAAAAGGCAAGACACTTGTTGAGAGGGAGGGATTGGGAGAGGTTTATTTCTAGCCCTCTTGAATTCTCATCAGATCAATTTCACAGCTCAGCTAATCATAACCTGATTTTCCTTGCTTGCCTGCCCCTTCTTCCTTCCCTGATTTCTGTCACTCGTTTTGCTGAGCACATTTTCCTGGTGGCAGAGGTGCTTTCCGTCTGCAATTCCCTTCCAGCAAGCTGTGGGAGGAGGCGACCTAGAGTGGGTGCTGGTTGGCATTTATGAATGTAGAGCTCCTGATCTTCCCAGGGCTTTACCACCTTGGTATTTTGCACCCACTCAACTGGTCCTGCATTTTTCTGGCTACACGCTGACATTCTCCTGTGCTTTGGCTCCGACAGATTCCCGGTCGGGTGACTTCCAGTGGTCTTCAGTCTGTTGTGCACCGATGAGAAATCTCCTTTTTGCCGTGGAGGGGCAGACAATGCATGGCTGATCTACTATGTTACCTACCAATGGCTTTACTAGTGAAACGTCCCCCGATCTAGAACAGAAAACGTTAACACCAGGAGCTCTCCAGGCCTTTTTACCCAGCGATGCTCATGGGGGAAATAAAAAAAATACCCTAAACTGAACAAACTCCAAGTGCTGCCATCGCCAGGGGCTGAAACCTGATGCCCCCTCACAAAGAACTCAGTTGTAACGGGGCTGGGAAGAAAAACCAGAGTGTAAGAGAGAGACAATTTGCAAAGAGAATCAAACTCCCATTCGAGAGTCTTTTCATTTTTCCCTCCACTGGTGGTAAACTTATGCTACCCCTTATTATTATTCTACTGTAACTATAAATCTTTTACTTGGTTTAAGACAGTTTTGTATCATTTTGCTAAAAATTATTGGCTTAAATCTGTGTAAAGAATTCTGTCTTTTTATTGTTGCGTTTTTGTCTTTTTTTTTTTAATTTTATTTTATTTTTTTCCGGTCTGACTTAAAGATGTTGACTTTGAAGAATCCTGCATCAAAGACACTGGCTTGGAGTTTTCAGTCAGGGAGTGTATGTGAATTAAAATGATCAAATTTTTTTGTGTTTTTTTGTTGTCTTTGTATAATCCAGTTTGGAGGGGGTTTTCTCATCAAAGTTTTATGTACATATATATGTACACACATATATATATATATATGAGTAATATATATGTATGGCTTGCAGTTTCATTAACTTGCTTTCTGGCTGTCTTATTCATTCCTCCCTATGTAAAACCGAAAGGCCCCTACAACACAAAGCCGTTTTGAATTTCTTGCCAGTCTTCAGTACAGTCAGAGAGCTAAGACTGCTGCTTGAAGGGTGCAGGGCTACTTTCAAACAATGCAAGACACTGCTCTTTCCAAAGGTGCATGGGAAGGGAAATAAGAAGTCTTCTGAAGAATTTGGAAGCCAAGGCTCTTGAGACCCAAATTGAACAGCTGGGAGTTCTTATGATTAAAAACCGAGTATATGTTTATGGTTTCCTTGTGAGAAGATTGTAATTGAAAGATTCGGGTTAGTGTATGATTTTCTTGATGTTGGTTGCCTAAATGCCTTTGAATTGGGGAAAATTTAAAGTGGACTATAAATGCTACCAATACAAGATTGGCACTTCATTTGTAGTAACAACTGTGTGCTCAGAGTAACTGGTCTGCCATCATTTGATGCCAAGGTTTACCCACATGGGCTGAACGGATGAAGGGGAATCCCAGGAAATGCCAAGAAATAGATGCTTTCAGCCTGCATTTGAAATTTTAACATGCCAACAGGTTATGGTCATGCATTTGTGGGGCAAGGTTTTTTGGTAGCCCAGAGTTGCGTGTGTGTGTGTGGACCGAAGAGAAACAAAGAAATGCAGGGTTGACTCAAAAACCTACTAGAACGCAAATGGCTTCCATACACAGCATCTTTTTCCTCTGGAGGCTCTCGGGGACTTCTGCTCTTGGTAGCTTTTCATAAAATGATGTTTCTTATTGTTAATCTTGCTGCACTCACAGAAACACAGAACCATAGTGATACCAAATCTTGACTCAAGCAAAGTAGATGTGAGCTTTTTCTGTCTTGGGAATCAAGGTGCAATATATATATATATCTATATATATCTATATATATACATAGATATTTTTATATTTCTTTCTAATCAGCCCATTGGAGAGTCTGTCCTGTTCGGAAGCTAAGCTATACCCACCCCTTTCTCCTACTCTTTATCCATTAGTCTCATTCTGAACCCCGATTTCCTAGAATGAAACATTTGTTCATGAAGACACCTAATTTTTTTAAATTGATGTTGCAGTGTTTGGCCAGTCACTTTCATTTTCATTGCCAGTAGTTGTTCCATTTAATCCCAATAATTGATTTTTTTCAAAGCCCCAATCTGGTTGCTTTTATGAGCTTTTAGGGAGTATTTACTTGACAGGGTTGGGGGAACTTGAGTTTTGGGAGTGCAATAGGAAGATTCAAAGTGTTGATTAGTGGAGGGATTTTTTTGTGTAGCCGAATGTTTTAATGAGTTAGGTTTTAATCTTTCAGGCATGTCATTATCAGCTACCGTCCTACACTGAAGTGTGCTTTCTTTGTAAATATCTGTGGTTTCTGATGTAATGCTAGAAAGACATATCAGAGGCAGCCTTTCTTCCTCCCTGTATCCAGGACCTGGAACTGACAGAATATGTTTGAAAAGTGGTTTCAGATGCAGATTTCTAGAATTGTGTGTGGTTGTGGACAGTTCTTGCCCTTCCATGATATTTAACTCCCCACCATTACCTGCAGGAAATGTAGTTAGAACGTCTGTATCAACCTGTGTATTGGTAACAAATATCTCTGAACAGCTCATTTGTATTACCACTGTATTTGTGTACTTTAACAATTGTGTAAATAATAAATTCATAATGACTTCTACATTTCTCCCTCTCCCCTTTCATGTCGTCTTTTTTTCACCTGTTTGAGAACAGTTCACTATGTGTAGATTAACCATAAGAGCATGAAAATGATTTTTTCAAAACTGGTTCTTATTGTTTTGAAAATGAGATTTGGATTAATCTATGTTAATTCTTTGAGATACTACTGACTTATCCCTGCATGGTGATTGGGAGTTAGGAGCCTTGATAGGGTTGAACCCTTTGGACTTCTCAAAGTCACGCAGTACCATATTGTTTTGACAGATTTAGGCACATAGTGGTCTTCTAAGGAGGTTTTCAGAGCACTTTTCTAAAAGGGAATGTCCTAATTTCCACCTTCTAACAACACGTTGACTAGGTTACTTAAAAATTTAACATTCTCTGTGTTTTGTTTTGTTTTGTTTTATTTTGTTGCCTGGGAACTTGATTTGTGTGAAGGAGTGAAATTTCTAAAGACCCTCATAGTACTAAGCACTTTTGAATTGCCAATTTCAGTTCTTTAAAACACTTGATTCCTGTCACTTTCTGTACTATGCTGTTTGCAAGTCTGAAAGGCAGAGGAATGAAATGACCCACCCTGTTTCTAGTGGCTTATTTAGTTTCTTGGAAGGGAACAGACTGACTGACTTGAATATCCCTTTTAGGGTACTCTTTCCAATTTACATTTAGTGTTGTTGGGGAGACTCCCTGAAAGATTAAAAACGTAAGAACAGGCAAGCTTCAAAATAATCATTCTGCTTGCCAGTAGGATAGTCCTTCAACACCCTGAGTGTCCCTGTAATCAATTTCCTAGTGGTCTAGCTCTTTTACTAAAAGAGTTCTTAGAGCTGAACTGCTGCTCTTTATATAATACTGATCCCTAGTTGAGAAGCTGCTTCATATTTAAAGTAGGAAATCAGAGCTTGTCAAAATATGTTCAGGTGAGATCTTGTAGGTCAGACTGTATATTGTGGCTTTTTACTTCACCATCTCTACTTCTGAGCTGTTCTGTCTTAAAATCAATGGCAGCATATGGGAAAAATAAGAGGTTGAACAATCATTTTGTTGTGCTGGAAATCTGATTCCCACCCTCCCTTCCTGTTGTCACATATAGCTTTGGGAATACCAGAGTCAAGTTAGAGTTCCTATCAGCCGGCATTTGAATTTGAAAAACAGTAACTACTCATTTGAGAAGTATAAGGCCTTGTGTTTGCCTTATAGTTTTCTCAGAGCCACTCACAGAACTTTAGACAATGCCTTGTGCCCAGAGGGCATAAATTAATCTGGTCAGCAACCTAGTGAAGAAGGTGATATTAATCTCTCCCACTTCATAGAGATGAAAACAAGCTCTGAGGTCCCAAAATGGGAGTCTTGATTCAAGTTCCCTAGTGATTCCTTGGCAGAGGTAATGGCTTCAACTCCTTATTAGTGCTTTGTTAACCAAACCATGTTTTAAAAGTCTACTTGATTTAATTTGCTCTTGTATTTGGAGATAGCTTCCCCTTCATTCTTCCTGTGTTGGAGTGGGACACATAGGGTTTCTGCCGTAGGTCATTTGTTAGTATCCTTGTCTACTTGTTTGAAGTAGTCTGCCTGGGGTGGGCAAAAGACCAGGTTCTTACTCTGTCTTTTTAATGCTTCCTCTCCAAATACGTTACACCCTTCTTACCCATGTGCTGAAGCAACTTTGGAAGAGGCTGGGAAAATGATTCTGTTAGCAAATGCCCATGGAGCCACAACAGTGCCTTTCAAGGGGTGTCCCAGAGGACATTTAATTGAGGAGTGGTGTTAGGTGTGCCATGAGTCACATGGGACTTTCATTTGTAGTCACATGCTCATGCCCAAGTCTCTGAATTCCCTTGCAGTATCCCTAGATTTAAGCAAGTGAATAGGACTGCTTTCAGCATTCCCTGAGGGCTTTCTGCATGATGCTTATTTAATACTTGTATTGTGCAAGAGGGATCTGGCTCCATTTTATTTGTGCTGCGTCTGCATGTATGTCAGGTAAAGCTCCAGAAGGATCCACTGAGTCTAACTGTTCTTTTGAGTTTTTCTGATAATTAGGTTGGTCAGTCCTGCTATTGACATTTCTTTTCTTTTTTTTTTCCCCTGTGAAGCAATTAGGGTTAAGTGACTTGCCCAGTCACACATCTAGTGAGTGTTATGTGTCTGAGATTGGATCTGAACTCAGGTGCTCCTGACTCCAGGGCCAGTGCTCTATCCACTGTGCCACCTCACTGCTCCAAAAGTGTGTCACCAAACTAACCATTGACGTTTCTTGATGGCTTATGGGGGACCTTTTTTTGTGTGTGTGTGTTCCCCTCCCTCCTTTGCTATGTTAACATCAGTTGCCCCTCCCTCTCCTCCTGCTTCTTAGTCTTGTCTACAGCTTTGTCTTTAAAATTCTTTTGGCTTCCAAATGGGAGATTCCGAACTCTCTGTTCTGTCTGCAGTTCTCAAATTAGCCCTTTCCATTATGCTAGCACCCCCACAGTGAAGTCAGTTAGTGGTAGGACTGATATCATCATGAAAGCCCTTTGAACCTTGTTTTTTGGTGGTTGGCTTTAGGATTTTTCCCCCCTTCAACTAGACCTGTGATTTCACTGGTGTAGGGAGCTCCTTGTGAGGAGTTTCCCTCTACCAGATAAAACCTGCTCTCTCACTTGCCTAGCACATTTTGAATCCCGGCTTTCCTGACTTTGAGACCAGCTCTTTGTGTACTAGATAACATTAACTCCATTTATTTCTTTATTCACTCACTCATTCATTCATTCATTCACTTTGTGTATGCCTCTTTCTGTGCTCTACTGAGTAGAATCTAGGTCTCCTTACCAATTTTCAGCTAGAGTTCAGGGTTCACACTTTGCAATTTTTTCAAGACTGTTCTTGGCCAGTTTTCCAATTTAGTACCCCAGAATCTCGTTCATCCCCATTACAAACCATAAACATTGTGAGATACCATCAAATGTACTGATGTATACTTCCCCCCCCAAGAGGGCATATGAAACTTAAATCTTCCTCATTCTCCCAAGGCAGAGGGTTAAAGGTTAAGCTAGAAATCCAACTCAAACTCTCTTCAGTCACAAGGATGAAACAGCTCTGAGTGGGTTTAAGTAGCAAGCTGTGTTTGCACAGAGATTGCTTGGTAATCACTAGACCATTCAATAGGAAATAGATTGGCACCATCAAATTCTGCCTTGGTATAACAGTAAAGAGAATACCTATGTTTTGCTTTGTGGGTGTTTTAAATGTTTCCATTGTCTTCTGGTCGTTATATTCCACATTCAGGTAACCATTAGAATTTATACTTGTAAGGGAGCTTAGAGGTCATCTAGGCCAATGCTTCTATTTGGAGAATAACAAGAATGGTAATAATAACTAACAGGTACACGACTGAACAATACCAGAGTGGTTTAAGGTTGTTAAAGTGCTTTACATATATTAATTTCATTTGATCCTTGAAACATTGAGGTAGATGTTGTTATTTCCATTTTACACATGACAGACTGAGAGGTTAAGTGACTTGCACGGGGTCACAGTCAGTAAATGTCTGTAGTAGGATTTGAACCTAGATCTTCCTGACTTCAAGTCCAGCATGCTATCTACCACGCTGTGTAGCTGCCTGATCCCTTCTAGCATCCTTGGCCAGTTCTAAGTCCAGAAGCCAATTTATTTTATTAAGGAAAAAAATCTGGAGAACAGTAATAAAAATAAAAATAAAAAAAAACCACATTCCTAAAAGGAGGGAAGAGCTTTGGGAGCCTTGTCAGGAATCAGTAGGAAGAAAAATGATGTTAGAGAGACTCTTGAAGAAATACATCACCTCTGTACGTTTCCTTAAGGCATAGCATAACTTCCCAACTTGCCAGAAGTCAAGCTAAATGAAAGAGTTCCACCTACTGTTAAGACAGTGGGAAATACTGGGAATGCAAGACAGTAGCAATATGTACTTTAACATTTATAAAATAAAGGAAAATTCCTTGTTGACACTTATCTGTATACAGAATATTCCTTCCTTGCTCCCAAGGCAGTGACAGAGGAATGATGAGAGAATTTAGGATTCTTTACTTTATATAAGTCAATGAGCTGATCTCTTCTCAGTATTTATCTCACCAAGTGCAGGTTTTGGTACAACCATAGCTTGGTTCACAGCCAGCTTCCTACTATACCTGGCTGTAGAAAAACTACTTTCCCCACTGTTTGCTATAGAGAGCAACAACAACAACAACAACAAAAAAAACCCACTAGAGTTAGGCTGAGAAGACTTTGGTGGGATTTGTGACCCTGCGTGTGACTTAATATTTCTTCACCTCAGTTTCCCTCTAAAATGAACAGATCAAGTTATCTGTGTAAGGTCCCTATGATCCACTGCAGGGCCAGGCTTCTATGGCAGGTTCAAAACCACATACTTTTAAAAATAAAAAAAGCCATCCTGGATCTGATACCTTTTCCTTTTCTAAAGCATCAAAGGAATTTGACCACTGGCTTTACTGAGGTTCAAAAACTCCTTTATTCTGCCCACATTTGCTTTGTTTTCACTTGGATCTGGTCATATAGAGTAGGTAATATTTAATCTGTCACCCTCCATTTGGGCTCAAGAATTTTCCCAGCAAGTGTTTGTGGCAGCTCTGCATTAATCTAGCTTTAAGGGGTCAAGTTTTTATCTCATTTTGCAGCCCAGGAATTCTTTTCCTTACTCATACTTACACTTAACCATGTCTGAATACAAGGTATCACTTTAAACTAACTGAGAGTCAGTTATGGAATGTCCTCTTACTTTAGAGACATCTTTTACAGAAAGAGATTGCATGAGGGGTGCTATTATGTTATTGGCCCAGCTGGTAAAAATTTGAGTTCTGCTTCTGACTCTGCTCCTAACTACTTGTGTAGATTTTGGGCAAAATACCTAAGCTTTCAGGAGCTCAGTTCCCTTGGGGTAAAAGTAAGGATGTTGTACTAAATTATTTCTAAGGTCTCTTCAGCTTTACCATTCTAAGAATCTATGTTAATAGGTCTTATTTGGT